GATATTCAGCTTTATCTGCAATAAACTGGTCTGACTGGTTTACGTACAAGTCAAAAACATTTACGCACGTGGGACAACTTGTGATTCGGTAAGTGACAGTAATATCGATCCTGTTTGCTTTTCCGACTGTGATTTGACCACTCAACAGCCATTTGTTTGACTGTTGTGAGTTACAAGCTGTATATCGTGTAGGGTTAGTCCGTCTATCCCACTGGAAAATAAAGAATTAGTAACAAATAAACAAACAATCAATCGGTCATTAAAACTCAAAATCAAATACTGGTTATGCTATTTGTCTTCCGGGGGAACTCCAATATAAAAAGGACGGGGGTGCTCGAAGGAAATTTTAAAAAGAGCGCTACCAAGATCCTGTTTTGTGGGCGTGGCTTGGAATTTTTTTCATCCCTAAGTGGTACAAATTCTTACATGTAAACAACACATTCACTGACACTGACTTTTTTCTTGAAGAAAAAAGTCAGTGTTCCATACTCTTAAGGTGGTTGCATACCCTAAAAAGTAGAATATAAAAGCAAAAACCGGACACAAAGTAGGATGATTTTTTTGAAGATGTACTATATTTCGGCTGGCCAAACCAAGCCAAACCAGCCTTCTTCAGGTACGTGAGAATATTACATTAAGACGTGTGTTTATGTAGCATATTTTCGTAATACCGGAATTACGTACAGAACTAATTGACAGTGTGAATTAAAAACAAGAATATGGTAAAATAAAATAATGAACTAACATAAAAAAAGGAAACGATTAATACGTTTCTTAGCGGATGTTCAGACCATCGGGATCAATTGTTCTGCCTTTTTGCATTAAAAAAGCTTCCTGGCCTTACGGATAGAGTCTCGGTTAAAAAATATTTTTTCGATGGGGATTACTTGCATGTCGTCAGTAGTGTGGGAAAAAGTACCACGAAAGCTCCTGCTTTTGAGGCTTAACAACCTAAGAGGTGTCAAACCTTCTCTTTTAACCCCTAAAATGTACGACGAGCACCCCCATCCTTTTTATATGGGAGTTCCCTCCCCCCCCGGATTTGTCTATGCAGTAAAACCCAAATACTGTGTTTCCAGTTTGTCTTACTGAACTGTAGCCTGTGTACATCCGCACCCT